CTGGCTATCTGCATCAGGCTCCACATAGCGGCTCGTTCCTATCCTGGATCAGCAAACATGTAACGGAATAAGCCAGGAGGACCCGATTAAACCAGGTCAAGCCGGGCTTTTTCTATTATCCTGGCTTTTTTTGATTCTACTTTTGTGCAATACCCCTCCAGATGAACGAGCCGAACAAACTTTGATCAATTAACTTAATCTTTATCTATATGATGATTTATATTTCGCTTTCATTTAGGATATTTCTTTCAAACGGAGTCTGTTTGATGTATTACATGTTTCATCATCATCAAAAATATGCAATTATATTTTAGAAACATTAAAATATGACATTGTTGACAATTCTAGTGTGTAATTTTAGTTTTTTGAAAAATCTCATTCGATTTGAAATGTTTTGTCCGTCTATGCCTAAAGGTGAACAAAGTCTAATGAACATGACTGTAATCCATAAAACTGTTTCAGTGCACAAAATATGGTTGTGTAAATTCACTGAGAAATAAATAAAACTACTCATTTATACTGAACACAGCATGTGCTTTCTCCAATCATTCTGCTATTTTCTTTAAGCTATATCTCCTTATATTTAAATCTGAAATGGATATAAATGAACATACACAAAATGATTGTGTAATACAATAAAACACTTATATTTTCCAACTATTAGAAATCCAAATATGTAAATAGCCAAGAGCATGGAGTGACACCAGCCTGTGACCTCTCCCACCTGCAGTTCTCCATGATGGACGTCCAGCGTTCTCCAGCCTCCGGCACCTAGACTGCAGCTCTGCTCAGGGAGTTTGACCAGAGGAGAAATGGCCGTGCTCAACTGAGCCTGGTTTCCCTCCTTCACTTTGCTCAAATGGTGAAGTTTGTTCCTGTCGCCACTGGCTTGCGTGATTCAAGACTTGTAGAGCTGCGCATGGATGGATTTGCTCTTCAGTGTTTGGACTTTCAGCTGTGAAGATTAAACCACACTGAACTGAGCTGAACTTCAGCTTTAACCACTGGACTAACACAGCTTCAGTTCACTGTGATCTTCTATGTGCTTTGACACGATCTACAGTCTAAAAGCGCTGTACAAATAAAGATGAATTGAATTGTAAAGCACATTCATTTCTAGTAGCATTGGCAATGAAACTATATAGGTCACTAAGATTAATCTTAGCCTGCTTGTTAGCCTGCTCTGGAGCTCAGGCTAGCTGCAGAGAATAAATCTTCATAGTAACTTAATTCAGCTTAATTTAGCCTTAATTCATGCAACTGAGGCAAAGCTACATTCAGCCAGGAAAGCCTCAAAATGCCAGCTTATTCCCTTGTCTTACTTTTGTGCAATACCCCTGATTAAGCAGAGCAGAAAGCAAAGAAAGCCAAACTCCATCAGCTGAGAGAAAAGACAATCAGATTAAGCCTGTGCTATTGATGAAGGTTCATCACAGCAGCTTTAGGTGGAGCTTCACACTTACACACATGTAAATATACGAGTAAAGCTGCTATTTAGGCAAAAGCAGAAGACTGGCTTATCAGTGTTTATCCATTATAGATTATGCCCAAGCATATTAGTATGACATATTCAGATGACCACTTTAATATCTAAAGATCGTTTACAGTAAACTTTGATCACAGTATTGCCTGATATGATGTTCTGTTATCTGGCATCACTGGGCTGTTCAGCATCACTGTCATACTAATGTAAATGTCTGATCTTTTGTTTGTTTTGTTTTCTAAAATCAAATCAAACCGTGCCTTCTCCTTCTAAACAATGACTATAATCCAAGAACAGCGAACATTTTTACAGCATACAAAACACTTCAGTACTTACTTTCTGAGAATAAGAATAAGCATGTGTAAGTGGACCAGCTCAAGGTATGACATTAGCATATTTCTGACAGAATCCACCTGTGCACATCCTCAACTGTGCTGTAAATACAACAGATCATCAATAATCCATTAACAAGTTCCTCCACAAAATAAATGCAGTTAATTACAGTTCTGTGGAGAGAATGAGTAATAGACACAAGTACAGACGCTGCTGCTGCTGCTGCTGGACACGGCGCAGACGCGGTTATGAGTGTAGACACACGGTCATTGTTCATCTAGTTATGGAAAGGGAGATGTGGGCTATATAACGTTTATATAATAGTATAGGTGGGCATAGATTAATTTTTGATTCCAGATTAATGTCACTGTAATCTTGGATTTAATGTAGATTAAAATGGCTCGTTTGAATCTGCCGAAGGCGTTCAGAATATGTGTGCTCCCCAAATAATGACTAAAGTAAGTCTTAGAGAGCGGCTTTCTCCAGCCAGGTGGCGCATTAGAGCAGGGGCGCATCTCCTGTTTCCATAATGCATCAGACACTGCAGGAGGAGCTGTTCTACTGTGATAATTGGTGATGAAAATAAATGATGTACAGTAAGATGTACTTGTGTTCACTCACTGTTTATTCAGGTAAACATGAGTGTTGAGCTGTCGGCCTACATAAGCTCCAAACAGCCATTTCTGATCACCTTAATCCCACTAAAGTCATCACTGAACTAAATAGAAATGGAGTTCAGACATGTGGAGTCTGCAGATATTAGTGGATTACTGAAGTAAACACCGCCATCACACTATTACTGTTATGTAGGACTTTCACCATACTTTCCTACAAGATCCACACACACGGCCGTCAGTAGACCGCATACACACGCACGCACGCACGCACACACACACACACACACACACACAGAAATATGGCAGTTTTTTCCTTTGCACTCGCTGTGCATTATTAAACTCCACAACACTCTCAGCAGTCCTCCTTCCTCCTTGTCTGTGTCTAATACTCCAGTTTGTCACAGGGGCATGAATGAAATGTTCATGAGTGAATATGAAAGCTAAAGTCAGCCAAAATGACAGGAAACTCTTAGATGACAGCACTTGACGTGAACACTTCATTACATTATTGTCTATAAGGAAGATAACTAGACTACAGATGTCCATGTAAGTGCAGTCAGGAGTGTCTTCAGTAAGTGAAGGATCCAGAAGGGCATTCTGCTGATGTGATTCAGAAGGGCACTGGCTCACCGGTCAGGTATACATCAGCTTGTGTAGAACAGACCCAGCTCAACTTCACAATAGATTAACAGCCATATTTACTGTATCGCGTGATAAGAGTCTGGCGTTAACGCTGATTACGGCCCACCACTAATAAATAATCAAACTGATATTGTCCTTTCCAAATGATGATCCTCTTTATTTTTAAATCATACAGAAATCTCCATCTTCAGACAGGATCAGAGTGAGGGAATGTCCTGCACAGTACCTGATGTTATTTCTGCCATTCAGTGCAGATTCACAGTGTTCACGGACTCTTCTTGAGCAGCTCATGACCTTCAGATACTTGATTCTTGATGTAAAGTCAGACTGCAGGACTGGCGTGTGTGTTTCTGCAGCGCTTCTGCAGTTTGCGGATCAGTTTTCTGACTGGATCAGTGTATTCCTTGTTGGCGAGACCCAGGAGAAGCGGCACAACCGCAGTGCTGCCGATGCCCACACAGGACAGCACAATGTGTCTGGTGCGACCGCTGCGCCCCGCCCGCCTCAGCAAGAGCTCCACGCCCACATGAGTGTACACTATATAGGGCCCCCAGCAGGCCAGAAAGGCCAGGGTCACGGCCGCCACACAGCAAGCGTAGCGCAGCTCCATCCGCCGCCGCTGCTCCCGGTCCGCCACTGCCCGCTGCACACGCGTGATGCCCCGCAGCTGCCCACGCGTGATGCATAGCACACGACACGTCATGGCGGCGATGGAGAGGATGGCAGGCGTCAGCAGCCCGTACACCTCCAGATAGATGAAGGCATTAGGGAAGATGCTGCGGTACGAGCAGCACTCTCCAGGCAGCGCTGTGCAGTGGGGCAGAGCCGTGGTGTTGGGCCGCGGGCAGCATCCGCTATGCCCCTGAAGCGCTCTGTTGTTCCAGCCAAAGGCAGGCAGCAGGGCAAACAGCAGCGGCAGCACCCACACGGCCAGCAGTGGCAGCAGGAACCGGCGGTGGAGCCACAGCTGTCCACGCCGCAGGGGGCTCGCGATGCTGCGGTACCGCTCGTAGTGCACCAGCACCAGGTTACACAGAAATGCCAGAAACAGGAAGTTAGGGAAGACATGCACCAGCAAACAGGAAGTGAAGCTGAGGGGGCGGTTCAGACCCATCCAGGGGATAAAGGGCAGCGCCACGCCGGTGCAGACGCCGGACACCAGCAGGCTGAGGAAGAAGAAGTGCTGCGCGCCGCGGAGCCGCCGGCTGCAGGCAATGGCCAGGATCAGCAGCAGGTTCAGCAGGATTATAGCGCAGGAGACGGGCAGCGTGGTGGAGTAGATCAGCCGGACCTCCACCTCACTCACTGACATGTTCTGCATCATTACTGCCTCCATCCACAGCAAACCTCCATCAGGAGAAGAGCTGAACCTGCGGAGAGCAGCACATCACTCAACACAACCCAAACTAGCAGCTGAAGCATAGGAGAACTCACAGATCAGTCCAAACCCACACGAAGAGCAGACAGAGCCATGCAGCACCATACAGAGATATCAGGACACACCACTACTGCAAATCTGACTCATGAACACATATTTACATTTCAATAAGGAAACATTAATGATGTCTGATCTAGAACCTGTGCTGAATATTCCGGCTCACCTCATTCTTTAATGATGTTAAACTTCCCAAATGATGAGTAAAGTCGTAATAAACACCGGCAGATTCCTCAGAGAGTGTTTCTATTTCTACAAATTTGTGTTTTAAAATGCAGTAAATGAACCCGTCTGACACACGGAAGCGGTTAGCTGAGAGAAAACAGTCTCAGTGTGAAAATACAGCGAATAAAAGCGGCAACAGCTGACCAAGAGTACGATGGCAGAGTGCAGCGAGTTTCATTTAGAAAATGCTTGTATTAAATCTTTCCTCTCTGTTTCATGTATGATTCAGGACTAACATTTAACAAAACTTGGTTCTACTCTATAAAACGTCCATTAAAAGCATCTGAAGACCAACATCAGCACATTAAACAAGTGAAGCGCATGCTGGAATACCTGCTGCCTGTAAACGCTCCATCTGCCCCGTTTACAACAGTGAACGATGATCTACCATAAACTCAGCTGAGTTTCCTGAAAACCTTTTCACGAAGCAAACAAACAGCCAGACAGAACACGTACCTCTGCCCAGCTCGACTTGAGCTGCAGATGAAGATTGCCTTCGATTTTGTCGACAGTAAGAAGAGTCTGCAGGAGTGTCCATCATCTGCAGATCATCCAGATCCTCCACAGCGCACAGAAGCAGAGAAATGAAGAGCCGTACTCATAAAGCTCCACAAACAGCCTGTAAACCTGCGCTGACTCAGGAGCGCTGTGTGCAGATGACGGACGAGGAGGAGCGCAGATCATGTAAACACTCGCTCTACATCACCATCGTCTGAGTCTGTCTCCAGTACAGCAGGTCTGACTTAAACAAGTAAACTCTCAATACTGTCATGTTCAGTTCTGCAGCAGGTCGGGTTTCTCTGATCAAATATGTGAATAATTCTGAATGAAGCCAAAGTTCTGCTTCGTGTCTCTGAGTGAAACACAGATGGTCTGGATCACCGTCGCGGAGGAATGGAGGACACACAGCTCCTGATCTGGGATCAGTCTTGCTCCCGTCTCACTAGAGAACTGGCCTAACCCGTCTGATGATCTACACACAAGCAGAGCTGTATATACAAAAGTACAGACACTGACCCCAGAACAGACTCGACCGCCAGACGCTTTATTATCAGCTTTGTGTTTATTCAAAGTAGATCTTTTGGCATGTTTAATCACTGAAATACCTCTTTACAGTGGAGGAAAAGGAAGGCTGACAGCATGTTTGTGTTGTCTGATCATTAAACACAGCAGGATGAGGAGTCTGATGATGCTCAGAGCTCTAACAGAAGGAGAGCAGCTGAATCTGAGGCGCAGAGGGAAACTGTGTGTGGGTTTACAGACGCAGAGCGGACCTCTCCACAGCACAGCTCCAGGGTTACTGCTGACACTCACCCTCACAGAAATAACCAGAACAGATCAGTCAAACTCTCCTGGATACAGTCAAAGCCAAAGACAAGAGCAGGCAGTCGCTCAGACCTACAGAGAAGACTAAGATATCAGCGCTCAGAGGTGATGAAGGCCGCAGGGCCGCACTGGTCCACCGGGGGACGCAGCTCCTATCGGTCTGGCCTCTGCAGGCAGAAGACTTTGGCTTTATGGTCTCCGCCGGCCGTGACGGCTACAGACGCCTCTCTGTGGGAAAATAATGAAGATCAAGATTTCAGCCATGACGGAGAGACAACATGAAGACAGCAAAGCATCTTTAAACGCAGCGATTTATCGACAAAAAGATCATCATGTGTTCAGAAGATGCTCCACAGTACAGGACTGACATTACTGAGAGATCTCTCATAACACAGGCTACAGATCTGCAGGTGATGCAGTGTTACACTGTACTGAAAGAGGACATGTTCTGCAGATGTGCCGGTGTTTGTTTATTCCTGTACATCTGTGTAGAAGAGGACTCGGTTAGCTGTAGAGCTGCAGAGGTGAACAGTTCTGTTATATAATCTAACCCATCCATTATTCTGCTCTATATCGATTATATCTTTATATCCAAGCTCTTCAGTGTAATGCTTTTCCACTTATTACAGGTTTCAGACACACACACACACACACACACACACACACACACACACACACACACACACACACTAATGCCTTCATATCTGTTTAAGTTTGGGCATCAGTGAGGATCAAGCATGAGAACGATGATCGACTGGCTCTAAAATTAAATTCTTTCATTCTCTCTGATTGGTTAAGCTGGTATTTGGGCGGTAGTTTGATATTTGATTTGAGTGATTTAATTATTTTCTGAATCCTGTCAAAGTTTTATCAACATTTTAACAGGACTTTAATATATATTTTAATTGCATGTTATTTAATTGTTGCTATGATGCACACAGGCCCCGCCTCTTGCTTAAGCTCCACCCCCGATTAATTGAGCACTCGCTAGTCAAACCTGTGGATTAATGGAAAGGGTCCATCCCTAATCTCTAACTGAGACATCCTGGAGACCGCCGGCAGCCTCATACATATGCAGGACGGGTCAGCTATCGCTCTCCAACAGAACTCAAAGCAGTCGGAACAAATGATGACAGTGTTCATACTAACTGTAGTCCTTTCAGACAGATGTAGAGGATATGCAGAGCAGACAGAGCCTCCTCAGGTGTGCGGAGCAGACATAGACAATAACAGATGCACAACACAGTGACAAGCTCTCAGTGTCTCTCCGTTTTACACACACACACACAGACACACACACAGACACACACACAGACACACACACACACCGGTTCAGCACGAAGTCCAGGATCTCCGCAGAGTGTCCATGAAACTCCGACACCAGCACACCTGAACGAGCATCCCACAGGCTGAGCACACCTGAGAGACTACAGGTGCACACCACTGCAGACTCCGCCTCCCACTGCAGCTGCACAACTCCCACCTGCAGACACACACACACACACACACACACACACACGTTTATGCAGTGCACCAACACAGAGCATCAGGCAGTGCTGCGCTTCACTCATGATCCTCTTACCTCGTGTTTACACTGGTGTCTGAGAGTGTGTGTGTTCAGATCATAGATGGCCAGTGTGCCGTCCAGATACGCCACAGCAGCGAGAGGCAGCCTGAAACACACACACACACACTCGTGATGCACAGCCCCTTTCTCCAGTATATTCTGCATGTCAGCACCTGTCCGTCAGGTGAGTCTACAGCCCAATCTCAGTTCTCCACCTTAGCCCCTCCCCTTACCCTAACCCCTGGTTTTGCCTGTTCACGTGAAGGGCTGGGGTGTCTTAATTCTCTTTATCTTGAAGGTGTAGGGCTTAGGGCTCGACACCCCTCGAAAGAGAGATTTTGCAGGAGCACACTCGAAACCAACAGGTGAGAAGATTTGCCAGAGTACACCGGCCACAGCGGCAGGACAGCTGCACACGGACGTCAGGAGATCCACAAATCTGTGTTTTGGTCATTATGAATTTTATAACAAGCAAGCACATGTTTTAATATTTCATAACCGCGCTCGTGTTTTACCATCATGCTTTTATCAAACACTAAAATAAAAGCCGCTAAATTTGGCGATCTATAATCCATAATCTACCTCCTGTACAGCAGCCCCACAACCCTGACACTGCAGGACCTCCAGTCCCCTGTCAGAGCAGTCTAGTGTCTGTGAGGAGCCGATTACAGCGTCTGCTATAGTGTTAGTGCTGTTTTCTGTGTTTATACAGATGAATATGGTCACGGTGTAAATGCGCAGTACAGTTATGATCTTACAGCTGCATTACACCCTCATGATACAGAGATAAATGTCCTGAAGATAAATAGCAAACAATAACAATAGCACAACTCCAGCAGTCGCCGTCGTCTGATATGAAGTAAGAGATGGTGATGACGTGTGATGACGTGTGCAGGTGCTGTCGTGCTGCTTAGAAGGGGACATTTTGAAGCCCTTCCCCTTCACACTCTGCTTCAAGAGCCAAGGAGACCAAACTAGACTGGACCTGCATCATCAGTGTAGTCTCTGTACGGTGATGAACTGGAGCAGCAGATACACTCACGCTCCCTGCAGAGACCCTCACAGACACACTGAACGCTGGTAAACCCTCTGTGCAGCGTCTTCATCGCGTTCCTCCACTATTCTACACATAACCTGATCAGTGCTCTCTGAGGGAGCAGATCAGCTCATCAGGAGGATGATCAACACTCCGCCTTCAGGAGATGAAGGTTTACACTGTCATTTCTGTTATTATCAGATACTAATGCTAGCTGTGTTTGCTAGTTTGTGGTTAGCGTCCTCATTCCAACGCTGTTTACACCAAAAAAAAGCATCTGATTTAAAGCGACTGATTTACATGTTCAGATGCGCAGAGACATCCAGCGGCGAGACACGTGCGAATGAAGCAGCGTGAGTGGAGTGTGTCGCGTGATTCATGAGCTTAATGTGCATAGCGCTGTTGTTAGTGTCCCGGGGGGAAATCATCCAGCACACACCGACAACAGCTCATCAAACTGGGCTGAGCTCAGTCAGACGCACTGCTGAAAGCTCCATCATCAGGCTCAGTGTCTGGAGGAGCTGATGAACTCAGAGCTGCTGCACCTCTGACAGCATCTAGTGGACTCAGCGCTATTTATCCGTGATTACTGCGTCTGGTGTGAACACGGCTTGAGTAGACGGTAAACAAACACAGATTATCTCGTGTACTCACACATTACAGAAGCCCACAGACTCTACAGAGTTGGAGTCCTGCGCCGAGCCGCTGCCTTCACTGGTCTGACTGGAGAACGAGCACAACACCTGAAGAACAGAACCAACAAGAACCACACACACACACACACACACACACACACACACACACACACACACACACACACACACACACACACACACACACACACACACACACACACACACACACACAGGTGAAGCTCACAGCACAACCTCACACCATTCCCATTCACTATATCTGCAGCTGTAACACGTCTGCTGATACACTAAGAGAATCAGGAGACCGGCGCTTCAGGAGACCGGCGCTTCGGGAGACCGGCGCACCAGGAGACCGGCGCTTCGGGAGACCGGCGCTTCGGGAGACCGGCGCTTCGGGAGACCGGCGCTTCGGGAGACCGGCGCTTCGGGAGACCGGCGCACCGGGAGACCGGCGCTTCGGGAGACCGACGCTTCGGGAGACCGACGCTTCGGGAGACCGACGCACCAGGAGACTGACGCTTCAGGAGACCGGCGCACCAGGAGATAGGCGCTTCGGGAGACCAGCGCACCGGGAGACCGGCGCTTCGGGAGACCGACGCTTCGGGAGACCGACGCACCAGGAGATAGGCGCTTCGGGAGACCGACGCACCAGGAGACTGATGCTTCAGGAGACCGACGCACCAGGAGACCGACGCACCAGGAGACCGGCGCTTCAGGAGACCGGCGCTTCAGGAGACCGGCACTTCAGGAGACCGGCGCACCAGGAGACCGGCGCTTCAGGAGACCGGCGCACCAGGAGACTGGCGCTTCGGGAGACCGACGCTTCAGGAGACCGGCGCACCAGGAGACCGACGCACCAGGAGACCGACGCTTCAGGAGACCGACGCTTCAGGAGACATGACATACTAATATTATCACCAGCTGCAGCGGTCAGAGACGCCGGTGTTCTGCCGATCGGTGCTTCTTCCTCAGAATGTGCTCAATCCGTCATATTTCATCTAAAAAACACAACCTAGCACATCCTGTCAGCTTCACACGTCCATCAGAATGCAGAACCACTCTAATAAACTTATTACATATAAAACTAATGAAATAAAAATAGAGGCAGTCGTTCACTCTGACAGACATCTGAAGCTGCTGCGCCTGCATCTGCACTGTTCAATAGAGTAATAGATCATGTCGATAGATATTTGAAGCTGACAGGATCTGCTAACCCTGCTTTGGTACATGACAGACTGAGCTACCGGCAGCACAGGAGGAGGGGGAGGAGGAGGAGGAGGAAGCACAGATCATCAGAACACCGGCAAACACATCTGCAGGAGAAACACCAGCACTGCTTCATTAACACACAATCAGCTAAAGCATTATGAAGACAGCAGTGTGTGTGTGTGTGTGTGTGTGTGTGTGTGTGTGTGTGTGTGTGTGTCTGCCTGACCTTCCCTGAGCTGCTGCTGATGAGTTTGGCCTGACCATCCACTGAGCCCGACAGCAGCAGCGCCCCCTCCTGGTTGCTGGACACACATGTCAGCGCGCCGCGGTGCCCGTCCTGGCCTAAGAACAAACACACACACACACACACACACACACACAGTTTGAACAGCCGTGTTTCTGACTCTGCTGCCCAGCTACACTTAAAGGGTCCTGAAACACCAGAACCCATCAGCTGAGCTGTTGACAGTCATATATGTGTCCTGCGCTGCTAAACACTATGAGGACACACACACACACACACACACACACACACACACACACCTCCCTAATAACTGCACACTGCTTGTGTTTGTGTTGTTTTGAGCAGATTGGCTCTCCGGTGTTTAATGTTGACGCTGCGTCACGGCGCTGAGGTCACGTGTACACTCCAGCGTGGTGATTGGCTGTCTGTGTGTCTGAGTTAATTAATGAGTGCGTCATTAATTGATGAGAAAGACAGCGGTTTGACCAATCAGCACTCTCTATTGTGAATGATGTTCATTAATATGCATGATGGAGCAGTGAAGAGACGCCGCACTGCTGCACACCCGGACTACACCAAGCAGACGCAGACCGGCTCCAGAGCCCCATGAGGAGAGCAGCGCTCTGATAACACACACACACAAAAACATGTGCGCAGAAGAGTGAGAGACAGAGAAAAAGTGTGTGTGTGTGTGTGTGTGTGTGTGTGTGTGTTTCACCTTTAATGACGTAGATGGCAGTGCCCTGCTTCAAGTCCCAGAGCCGCAGACTGCCGTCCTCATAGCCCACGATCGCTCGCTTGCCTGCAGATCAGACACACTCTGAGAACACACACATATACATATACACACATACACTTACACACACACACTCACTCACTCACTGAACAAACTCTCTCTCTCACACACACACACTTACTGAACAAACTCTAACTAACACACACACACACAAACACAAACACACACACACACACACACTCACTTACTGAACAAACTCTCTCTCTCACACACACACACACACACACACATTCACTAACTGAACAAACTCTAACACTAACACACACACACACACACTCACTTACTGAACAAACTCTCTCTCTCACACACACACACACACTTTCACACACATTCACTAACTGAACAAACTCTAACACTAACACACACACACTCACCGTCCGGCAGAATCCTCCCGCAGGTGGTCTGGCAGCCGGGGCTCTGGAAGGTTCTGCAGGCTCCGCTGGGCAGTTTCCACATCCAGACGCTCCCGTCAGCCACACCAGCCAGCAGCACCGGGGCACAGGGGTGCCACTCCAGCCACTGCGCACGCACGCACGCACGCACGCACGCACACACGCACACACGCACACACGCACGCACGCACACACACACACACACACACACACACACACACACACACAGAGTAAAATACACACACATAGAGCAGTAACGCACACAAAGCAGTAACACACACACACACCTCCAGATCTCCAACCTCGGCACTCCACACCTCCTCCCGCTTCTCCACGCTCCACACGCGGATCACACCGCTCATATCTCCAGACGCCGCCAGCGCAGAGTCACTGCTGAACCCCACACACACCACTGAGTCCTTATGACCTGAACACACACACACACACACACACACCACTGAGTCCTTATGACCTGAACACACACACACACACACACACCACTTAGTCCTAATGACCTGAACACACACACACACCACTGAGTCCTTATGACCTGAACACACACACCACTGAGTCCTAATGACCTGAACACACACACACACACACACCACTGAGTCCTTATGACCTGAACACACACACACCACTGAGTCCTTATGACCTGAACACACACACACACACACACACACACACACCTGTACACTCCAGCAGCACCTCTCCATCACACACACGCCACAGGAACGCTCGGTCATCTTCTCCACCGCTCATCGCCAGACTGTTGGTCAGTGGGTCCAGCCTGACGCAGAACACAGAGCCTGACACACACACACACCCACACACACACACACAGGTTGAGTGTGAAGTGCAAACACACACACAGAGGGGGGGAGAAAGAGAGTGTGTGTGTGCAGGTCACCTGTGTGTCTGGTGAAGGTGAGTTCGCTGTCGTCCTGTTCAGACTCCATCAGCTCGTCCTCCGTCTGCCATCCATCATCATCATCATCATCAGCCACACACACATCCTCCAGCTCATCCGCCAGCGCATCTGCACACACGCACACACACACACACACAGGGGGAATGAGCACCTCTACACTATACAGACAATAGTAGAGGAGATATTTAGAGGAATGTTGGAGCACTAATACCAACCTGCATGAGGCAACTGAAGCAAGCGTGAAATCACCCTATAACACCAACCTCACCTCACACACACACACACACACACACACACACACACACACACACACACACACTCCTCTCACTCACTCACTCACTCACTCACTCTCTTCTTTCACACACACACACACACACACACACACTCCTCTCACTCACTCACTCACTCACTCTCTTCTTTCACACACACACACACACACACACACACACACACACACACACACACACACACACACTCCTCTCACTCTCTCTCTCTCTTCTTTCACACACACACACACACTCCTCTCACTCACTCACTCACTCTCTCTCTTCTTTCACACACACACACACACACACACACACACACACACACACACACACACACACACCTGGGCTCTGCGGTGTGTCCTCCAGCTCGATCTCCTCGTCCTCGTGCAGCTGCAGTGTGTCCTCTAGCTCGGGGTCTGGGTTGTCGTCTGGGTTTGGGTTGTCCATGTCGAGTCCCGCAGCTGATCAGCTGTATTGATCCGGGTTATGTGGAGAGTGTGTGTGTGTGTGTGCTCAGGTGTTACTCCTCATCTGATGTGGAGTAGTAAACACACACTGCTCGCTCGAGTTTTCACGTGCTCGTCCACACGGCTCGCGCTGACGCATGACAGAGAGCGTGATGACGGACGGCGCGTCAGCCAATCACGGATCGCTATTGTTAAAAGGAAGTTGTGAAAGACGGGACTTCCGGCTCGTGGTTCCGTCGCAAACTGCAAACATTAATGAACAGCTACTCGAGCCCTAACAGTGCTTACCCACTAAAGAGCACTGAAAGAGCAGCTCCTCAACAGCACATCTCGCTAAGTATGAACGCGACATAGAAATATACATTAGATGTCGCCTACCCTGTTGTTGTCTATTGAAAGGAATGCGCCAATAGAGCCGCCATGTTGGAACAGGGTAGCGCTCCTTTGAAATGAATGCGGGACCAAGCTGCTGTGGAGGATTGTGGCCATCCAAAGCCAGAGATATACACATATACACACATATCTATGATCGGGAGTTTTCCTGGATGTTAGTATGTTTTTTTTTTTTTAATTACGAAAATTATAATTTTACATCACTTTTCTACATTGATGGATCAGTGACCGCACGGGTATTCCTCACAAAAAGCTTGTGTTTGTGTGAACAGAAATGTACTATTCACCCTCCCTGTTAAATTTGATCATGTCCTGAAACACAGCTCCTCTCCTGCTTTCATACTGACGGAGGAGCGATTCGTTTGTGAATGAATCTCCGTTATGAACGACTCTTTCACTAGCTGACAATAATACAAGTTTCTGGCAGCGCAGCATCTCGTTGTCATATTTCTTTTGCATTGTTTGCTGATCTTATTAAACAAAAGTAGCATGAGCAGAGTGTTTAGTGTGAGTTGGTGCTTCTCTGCCTTATAGTGAATGCAGTAAGTGACTGTATGATCATCACGTTACCTGATTAGCACAAAACTTCAGAACATACAAAAACATTAAAAACTTAATCTTACCTATGAAATGTTCTGCCTTTGTGCTTTGTTTTCTTTGTTTGCTCGTTACTACACCCGTAGAAAGCGCCAACACTGTCTTGACTAGTGCGGTTGAATGACTCTTGTCCTGGGAGCACTGTACCAATGTGGCGGCGCTACTGACGCATGCTCAGGGTCCCTATGCGATATCTAGTGTATATATCTATGTGAACGTGATCGTACGTCATCCGCCATGTTTACGCTATCACGTGACTGACGTCACAAGCGCGGAGCGAGGATCAGCCAACCATTATTATGAAGCTGCAGGCCCGGAGACCCAAGCACACGCTCAGACCTGCACTTCCAGACCTGCACAGCGCCACCTGCTGTTTGACAGATCGACTAACCTGATCCAGCTGCTCATAAATTGTAACTTAAACCATTTTCTACTATAAAATGTTACGCTATGATTGAAGACATTATTATATAAAGCATTAAACATGCTAGATCTTGATTTAATGCGTATATTCTGCTGTATTTTTATTAATTGTATTTGTAAATAGATTTTGTTCAGTTACTTCAATATGTTCAGACATGTATTGTGTTGTTAATCATTTATCAGTGTTTGGTATTGAGCTGAGGGAATGAATATTATCTTCATGCACAGTAAATGACAGTTCTCTGGGTAATTTTCTCACAATAAGCTTTATTTTTCTGTACTTTTCATGAGCTCCTACAAGTCATCAAGCTGTACACAGTGCATGGATAGATGCTGAAAATAATAATTCGATTAATAATAAGTTTTTACCTAGAAAATATCCTCAAATCAAATCAATGCTTTACAGTGTTGTGTTCATCTCTGGAGTAAAACAGTGGGAATATCTGCAGCATTTGGTGACGGCATTAGTGCTGGCCGAGAGCAGATCTCCCTTTCTGAATTACAATATCAATCTGGGAAAACACACAACACAAGCTGATTATTATTGCTGTAAGCTAAGAGCTCATATTGTACATTCTATGCAGATAGTTTGATTTCCAAAAAGCGTGTTAGTAATCATTACAGAACTTATTAATAACTGATAAACTGTTATTGTGTTGCTGTTATTGTCTTCGGTAGCTCTTTCAGATGGATAATACAGATGTACTGTAGACCTGCATAGCACTAAAATAAAATAATTATTGCGTAATATATTCAACATTTCATTTGAACATTTTAACTTTAATGTTTTATTTTGACAGAAATCATTCTAGAAAATCATCCCAGAATTGTACAATAACACTGAAAATAAGAGCAAGCTGTAAATATCAGAAAATAATGCTCTTTTGGCTCTAATATTGATCAAATTAAACACTGAAATAATTGTGTGTTAGTGTCATATTTTACACCACATTGATTTATGCCACAAAACCTGGTCATTTTCAGGAATCGCTTTATTAATCAATGACCTTACACTGGCGTGTCTGATGTTGCTACTCTCTAGCAGTTGGGTCTCCGTACCTGCCGCTTCACCCAACCCAACAGCAGGTGGCACTGTCTGAGAAAACAATAGGTCTGTGTGTGTGCGGTTGGGTCTCCGGCCCTGCAGCTTCACCTTATTTTTTCTTTTTTTTAGTTTATTTAGTCCCGATTTAAATGAATATTGAGAAGGTTACAATAACTGCTGTTGTTCATCGTGTGTGTAACATCTCTCCTCTGCTGAACTCTGCTCTGTTCCCTGTGCTGACTATTATAATCCTCCTCATTGAGCAGTCCAGAGCTTTAATCTCATCTCAGTGTAATAAACACACTCATTACAGGAGCTCATGCAGATCTGTCGGGGGAACACGACACCACCCTGTCTGCATAATAATTCAGATTAATAATAATTATTACACTTCATAACAATATAGTAACCCATAATACTCACAGTAAGATGACGGAGCTCTTGACCGCATCATCAGTGTGTTCCCGACTGCAGGCCTCCACCGCTGATCTGACCTGTTCAGCGGCTCGGCCCACATGAGGAACACATCTGAAGCGCTGAATCTGCATCCTCATCATCTTTAACCTAGATGTTGGATTTTTAAGAGCTAGCGGGGGCACTTCAGAATATTGTAGAAGGGCACTTTCTATAGAAGAGGACACGGACGCCAACTCTGCGGTTCTGAAGCTTAATAATGTCTATAATACAGCAGTGGAATGCTTCTGTTAAACTACTGGACCCAAAACAACCACAAACATCCCAAACTGAGGAGACCAAACTAGGGAACAGACACTGTACTGAAGGGTTACGCTGGTTTTGGATGAGTTACTGAAGAGTTAAGCTGGTTCTGGATGGTTAGTAAAGGGTTAAACTGGTTCTGGATGAGTTACTAAAGGGTTAAGCTGGTTCTGGATAAGTTACTGAAGGGTTAAGCTGGTTCTGGATGGGTCCTGAAGGGTTAAGCTGGTTCTGGATGGTTAGTAAAGGTTTAAGCTGGTTCTGGATAAGTTACTGAAGGGTTAAGCTGGTATTGGATGGTTAGTAAAGGGTTAAGCTGGTTCTGAATGAGTTACTGAAGGGTTAAGCTGGTTCTAGATGAGTTACTAAAGGGTTAAGCTGGTTCTGGATGAGTTACTGACTATTTAAGCTGGTTTTAGATTGTTAGTAAAGGGTTAAGCTGGTTCTGGATGGTTAGTAAAGGGTTAAGGGGGTTCTGGATGAGTTACTGAAGGGTTAAGCTGGTTTTGGATGGTTAGTAAAGGGTTAAGCTGGTTCTGGATGAGTTACTGAAGGGTTAAGCTGGTTCTGGATGGTTAGTAAAGAGTTAAGCTGGTTCTGGATGAGTTACTGAAGGGTTAAGCTGGTTCTGGATGAGTTACTGACTATTTAAGCTGGTTTTAGATTGTTAGTAAAGGGTTAAGCTGGTTCTGGATGGTTAGTAAAGGGTTAAGGGGGTTCTGGATGAGTTACTGAAGGGTTAAGCTGGTTTTGGATGGTTAGTAAAGGGTTAAGCTGGTTCTGGATGAGTTACTGAAGGGTTAAGCTGGTTTTGGATGGTTAGTAAAGGGTTAAGCTGGTTCTGGATGAGTTACTGAAGGGTTAAGCTGGTTTTGGATGGTTAGTAAAGGGTTAAGCTGGTTCTGGATGAGTTACTGAAGGGTTAAGCTGGTTCTGGATGGTTAGTAAAGAGTTAAGCTGGTTCTGGATGAGTTACTGAAGGGTTAAGCTGGTTCTGGATGGTTAGTAAAGGGTTAAGCTGGTTCTGAATGAGTAACTGAAGAGTTAAGCTGGTTTTGGATGGTTAGTAAAGGGTTAAGCTGGTTCTGGATGGTTTGTGAAGAACTCTTCAATCTCTGCTTAAGCGCTCCATGTTGTGTTGCCGTGGAAACCGTTCTGGCAAGAGTTCTGCCTGCAGCGCTCAGCCTCCATTTGTTTAACACAGAAATCCCAGAATGCCGAGTGCTGACCCGCCGTGCAGGTCAGTGTGCTGCCGCTCACTCTACATAACCCAGTTCATCAGCACACGGCCCAGTATATCTGTGTAGGAGTGTCTGTGTTAGCTGGGGGCATATTCAATGTCAGAAGACTGCTCTATAGTTCAGTCACGGTGTGTGTGTGTGTGTGTATATGTGTGTGTGTGTGTGTGTGTGTGTGTATATGTGTGTGTGTGTGTGTGTGTGTGTGTATGTGTGTGTGTGTGTATATGTGTGTGTGTATATGTGTGTGTGTGTGTGTGTGTGTGTGTGTGTGTGTGTGTGTGTGTGTGCGTGCGTGTGTGTGCGTGTGTGCGCGTGTTCAGGGCTCACACTTGTCAGTCACTACTCAATCCAATCTTCTATACGTCACACACACGCAGATGAGTTCAGCTCTCTGATGTCAAACTGAGAAACTGAGAGGAGAACTGCTGTAGGTTAATCACCATCCCTGCTCACACTCACACACACACACTCACACACACACACACACACACCACACACACACACACACACACACACACACACACACACAGGGTCACTGTCAGGTTGGTGCAGCAGAATCTGGGGGTTCGAGTAGTGCATCAGTGGGGAATCTGGGGAATCAGGTCAGCATCAGCAGAACTTTCCTGAAAGCGTCAGTGTGTGTGTGTGTGTGTTTGTGCATGTGTGTGTGTGCGTGTGTTAGCCACAGCAACACACACTGCA